ATCAAAGGTAAGTAAATCCCACACAAGTTATGATTTGAGAAATCAAGTGTGTAGAGATTTTACATACATGTATATGCTCATGATTTGAGAATTGTTGATGCAATTGATGAATTATTGATGAGTTTGTTGATTATTGATGAATAGAATTTAGCCATGAGAAGTGGTTTTGGTTGTATGATGAATAATTGAAGTTTGGTTGAAGTTTGAAAGAGTTGAGTAGAATTTTTGGGAGTGTATTGTTTTGGACAGGTTTAGTAATTGTTTAAGGGAGTTTTACTCCAAATATTGGTGGCTTGAGAAAAGAGATAGAATTGTAGTCATTAGAGTTTGATTATGCATGCAATAATATTGATGAAATGTCCAAGAGAAGTGTATTCATGAGTTTTATTCATTTATAAATTGATATGAGTTTATAGATGGTAGAAGAAACTTATTTTTATGCTACATGGCATCCTTGCATTTAAACATTTGCATTTAGAAAGAATATTTACAAGAAACCCTCTACATACATACATCTTCATAAGAGCATGTAAAAGCACTAAAATATGTTAAAAGAGAAAATAGAAAGAAATGAGAATATTAAGATATTCAAATCTAAAATTTTAGTTAAAGAAGTGTAAAAAGATAAAAAGAAGAGAAGGTTGTTGCGATGGGGAGCCCATGAGTGACAGAGTCTCACATGCACGCCGCCTTTAGTGAGCGGCTCAGAATTCAGAAAGAATAAGTGTACAGTCTGTTAGAAGTGTGTGTGGATAAGGACTTGACCCAGATTAGAGATTCACTTACACAACCAAGGCTCCAAATACATGCCTCAACTGAGTCCGATCGGCAGAAAAAGAAAGAAGAAAAGAAAGAATAGAGAGAAGAAAGAAAAGAAAGAATAGAAAGAAAGACTATGAAAGAAATAAAGAAATAAGAATAAGAAACAGAATAAGAAAAATATAAAAGAAAATGTATAATCTATGCATTTGTGCATTTGCATCATGAATATGCATAATACCATGATTATCATGAGTAGTGAACAGTTAGAAAATTGAGAGAAAACAGTGAGCAAACAGAGAAAGGATAGAGAAAGAACAGAGAGAAGAACAAAGAAGAATAAGAATACTCAGGAAATAGTTGTAAGGAAAAGAAATTCAAGATTTAATCAACGGAGAGAGAAGGGTTCATAACGGGTTACTATTGAGCAATTAGTGCTCACTCCCGCTGTTTCAATGTTTTTGCAGTAATAGGTGAGTTGCGGTCACTCGGAATGTCACGGAAGGGATTGGGCTCACTTTCAAGTTGCTATTTTGAGTATATTTTGTAATATTTGTAATAAAGAAAAATTAATATGAGCTCATACTTTATCTCGTTTTATGCGTATTTCTTATGTATATTTTAATGAGTTTTACTGATTATTTTACAAAGTATACTAGTTAGAAGAAAGTATTACAAAATAGATTTGTGGGAAGATGGATTGAATCAATTTTTTTTTTTACCTTTAATTTTTTTAATTTTGGGACTTTTTGGGGACTGGTTGAAGTGGTAATTACTGATGTGATATATGAGACGATATCTGCCACATTAGCATCAAGTCAATTACTACTCATGGCGGGAATAATGGGCCGGTTAGGCGGGCTAACCTAACCCGGCCCGTAAAAAGAGGGCTCACGGGTTGAGCCCAACCCGCCAGCCACCCTCGGGCGGGCGGGTTACACAATGGTAACCCGGCGGCCCGCCGGGTTGCTAATTTGTCCTCTTTGCAAGAGGCCCGCAACCCGGCGGGTGCTGGCGGGTTGGCTGTGCCAAAGGCCAACCCGCGGGGTTGGCCCGAAAAAAAAAAATTGTAAATATTTTTTATTTTTTTCAATTACACTTTACCCTTGAAATCTAGGTTTTAGCGTTGGAGGGGTCTTTTTGTCATTTTCTTTCCCTATTTTTCTATAAATTGGACCTAAACTCTCTTTTTTTCTCACAACTCAAATTCTCTCATTTTCTCATATTCTCTATTCTAATCTCTATTCTCCAACTCTCAAGTTTCAATTATTCATTTATTCTCTTAATATTTTTGTATCAATTTGCTCTTATTTTAATTTATTAGGTTTTGCAATTTTCAATATATTTCCAATTTCCATATTCCAAATCTCTTTCTTTTATTTTTATTTCTTCTACATCATTTTTTTTTTAACTACAAGTCTACAATGGATAGATATTTTCTCTCCATAATTTCATGAGGAAGAAAACATTATCCTAGTCCTAATCCCGCTGATTTTACTATGAATGCAGGAGATTCAAATAGTCCGCGTCCCAATCCCAGTCTCAGAATCCGATACACCTCAAAATATGCCGTCAATTCCAACAGCGCCCGGGGTTCTAGAAGTCGTCCTGTAATCGTCGTCCTCGTAATCGTCGTCTCCGTCCAACTTATCTCAAGCTGAGGCGGGATCATCAACTGCCATCGAAAGCGAAAACAGACACACATCAGACGTTTGGGCGCATTTCGACAAGTTTTACGAGACAGAAAATGGCGTTACAGTCAAGAAAGCAAGATGCAAATATTGTGCAAATGTTATAAAGCTGATTCAGGTAATGGTACTAGTACTTTAAAAAGGCATGCTAATAAACATATTAATCAAAATGGAAATAGGAAAGCAATCAAACTCAAATAACTAATATGGGTACTACTTGGCGTTTTTAATTCTGATGATATATAGGGAACAGTGTTTATTATTGCTGCATCTGATAACCTTTAATATGGCAGAAGATAAATATTTGAAAGATTTGTTAAAATTCATTTTTTCCAGGATTTAAAAGTTATTCAAAACTGAACTAAATAATTTAATAAAATGTTTAAAAAAATGAAATTAGAATAAAAAATAAATTTCATACTTGTCTATTAGTGTGGCTTAACTGCGATATTTGGAGTGGTATAGCTAAACAAGATTATATTTGTGTGACTAGTCATTATTTTGATAATGATTTAAATTAAATAAATCTTTATTAGGAATTAGATTAGGATGTGGATTATAGTGGTTTAGAAATCTATAATAAAATATTGAAGTTTTAGAAGATTATGATATATTGATAAGTGATAGTTTAACTTTAGATAATACAAGTTCTAATAGTAAAGCTATAGAATTTTTTCAAAATATTATTTTTATATAATAATTTGAAGTTTTTTCACAACGTTGTGCATGTCATGTTATTAATTTAATTGTGAAAAGTGGTATGAAAACAATTAAAAAAAATATTGAGAATTAGGGAATCTTTAGCTTGGATTACTTAGTAGTAATAAAAGAAATGCTGAATTTCAAGAAGTTGTATAAAATCAAAATATGTCTCTAGAATTTTGCATAGATATGCTGTTAGATGGAATAGTACTTATTTAATGCTTGATTCATGTTTACCTTATGCAATATAATTAGTTATTTGTAGCAATAATAGAGGTCCTATCATTTGGTAGAAAATAATTGAAATAGCTAAAGTATTTCATTTTTCTCAAATGTTTTTACCAAGCCACTTTACAACTTTCTGTGGTGTATTACCTACTAGTCCATTGGTAATACATGCAATTATAAAAATTTCCGAGTTATTTACAAAAAAACAAAGATGATGAAATTTTACATGCACCAATAAAGGCAATGGAAAAATTTTTTTTGATATTGGAGACCCGTTCCTTTTCTTTATTGTTTAGGTGCTATATTTGATCCTAGAATTAAATTAGCACGTTTAGAAAATGGTCTTGACAATAAGTGAAAATTTACAAAACGAATATATCAATCAATAGGGAGGGTAAAAATATCTTTTCGAAGTATATTCCAATATGAAAACAGGTATGGGAACCCGCAGTCGCAAAGAGGCGAAATATCCAGAGAAGAGTGTAGCAGAAGAACAATGAAGACTTATTCTCTTGGAATGCACTGAATAGGCCGAAGAGGACCCGAGTCCGAAGCACACCTCCTCTTCAGACGCCCCACCACCCACAACAACAACAACTAATATGCTGTCCTCCATGGAGTCGCAGAGTAATGAACTTCAACAATATTTGGAACCCCCGAAATGTTTTCAACAGGTCACTTGATTCTTAGAGTATTGGAGCCAGAAAATGTATTTTTCCGTATTATCAAGACTTGCCTTGGAGTCGCTGTTCCTGGCTCAACCGTCTCATCCGAACAAACATTAGTGCAAGTGGAAGGATTTTAAATGAAAGGAGGACTAAACTTGCTCCAAAAATGAGTGAAGTCTCACATGTCTTCGAGATTGGGAACGATCGCGCCATCAAGACAATACGAGGTTATCGACAATGCTAGTGAATCATTTCAATTTTGTATATAGATGATACAGATGAGGGAGGTCCTAGTGAACCACCCCCAATTTAGTTGTTTTGTAAAATGTAATTTGTAAATTAATTATCAATTATTGCACTCTTTTTTTTACCAAGTTTTTCTCCCATTGGGTTTTTCTTGGTGAGGTTTTTAACGAGGCAATATTGTTGTAATTTCTTATTTTATTTTTTGATAAATGAATAAGTCTAATTTTTCTTATATTACAATTTTATTGTATTAAATTGAATTAATATTTGAAAGTTAACAAAAAAAAAAATTGAATTGAATTGAATTATTGATATTGAAAAGTTAACTAAAAACAATTATATTTATAATTATTTATTTAAAAAGATAAATTAAAAAAACAAAAACAAAAAAAAAAACACAAAAAAAAAAAAAAATCGGGCTAACCCGGCCCGGACCGTGCCTAACCCGGGGGTAGGGCTGGCGGGCCGGGCTGGGCAGCCACTTTCCCTTTGGCGGGCCTAACCGGCCCGCCTTTGTTGGCGGGCGGGTTGAGCCCAGCCCGCCAAAACATGTAACCCGCCGCGGGCCGGGTCGGGCTGGGCCGGGCGGATTACTTTTCCACCTTTAATATTAGTGTAAGAGAATAGTAAGGCTAGCAGTACTCTTTGTATATTGAATGGTTTATGCATGTTAGAATATATTTTTCAAATTAACAGCAACCACCAATAACATCTGGCTGTGTTTTATTAGGGTTTTCATTTCACTTGAAAAGGGTGTAAAAAAAAAAAAATGACAATTAGAAGCAAAACAAACACGATCTTTAAAGAAATGCTTCATCATCGACCATTATCCTCCTCCGTTTTCATATCACCGATCCGTTTCACTTTACCTGGCTTAGACCGTTTAAGTATCCAACGTTCAGTCAGCTTTGGCGGTGTTCGTTGCGCCGCCTCTGATTCTGGCTCCGACAAGAAGGTATCAGCTCGGCTGTCTCAAGTTCAGCAACTATTGCAAGAAGCCGAGGAGCGAGCCAGCTCTGCTGGCAATGACCCCATCCCTAAAATTACGCTAGGTACTTGAAATTTAATTATCATTTTCGTTTAAGAGAGACAAGTCATCATTAAACTTAACCCAATCAGCATTGCTTGCAGATCATGTGACTGTTAGCTTTGCTCGAAGTGGTGGGCCTGGAGGTCAAAATGTGAACAAAGGTATGCTGCTCTCTACTTCTATTTTGTGTTTTAATTTTTCACAAATTTGGTTTTCGCATCTCTTAATAGGTATGTGACTGTAATTGATTTTACAGTGAACACTAAGGTGGACATGCGTTTCAATGTTAAAAATGCGTACTGGCTGAGTGACAGGGTCAGACAGAGGATTATGCAAATGGTTTGTTTTTTTATCATTTCTTATTGTATGTTTGAAAGTCATTGTTGCATGAATATAAAAATTAATCAAGATAGGAATAGGGGATAAGAGTTCTATTATATTGGATTATAGGGTTCTGAGCTCTAGTTTCAGATCAGTCAGTTTTGTGAGATTTTTAACTTTAATATAATAGAGAAAAAAGAAAAAAAAAGGAAGCGAGAGTAGGGCCTTCTTTATATCACCTAGGATTTCTTGAGGCGATTCTGATTATTTTTAGAATCCAAAGATTCTATAATGACTAAAATTTAATATTTTTCTGTATGATGAAATTGTGAATGTTAAAAAAGTGCCAAAAGCTGAGAATAGATAGTTTTAGAATGCATAATTCCCAGTTCAGTGAATGGCTCTAAAACTGGTAAAAATAAATAGTTTCAAGATTAATGTCTAGTAAAATTATGGATTCTAGACATGGGAGGTATGGATTTTATCAGCTATGAACTGAATGACAGTATTTCCCCTTTCCTAGCCATAAATACAAGAGAGATTATAAATTATCAGAGAGATCTTAGGTGACTTTTCTGAAAATATGTGACTGTTGTGTTATTAAGTTAGCTTTCGTGCTCCTTTCAGTTGAAAATCATTTAATTGTTTTCAGTTAGATTATTGTAAATGTTCAGTATATTTTGATTGAATAAATTGTTTAGTCATCTTGTGATATCATGAATGGCACCCTCAAACTCCTGTGGCTTACATCAAGCAAACATTCTCACACCTCTTTGTAATTTGTCAAGAGGTGCAATAACCCCAAGAATAATCCTTGCTGTCTATGTGCATGTGTGAGTGAATGTGTAAATGTGTGTATGGGTGGGTGGGTGTCTACAAAATGGATGGCCTCATTTTGAATTTCATTTAACTCTTATGTTTGTGACTACTTTTCTAGAAATTGGTCATGGTAGCCATTTGCTTGTCTTTATTCAGGTTCTCAAATGGTTGTTTTGTATGTGAACAGGAGAAAAATCGAATAAACAAGGATGGTGAAATTGTAATTTCTTCAACAAAGACTAGAACACAGAAGTTAGCTTCTGTTCCTCTTCTTCTTTTTTCTGCTGTCCATTTTGCTTATATGTTGTGAAAGCAAATAGTTTGATTGTACCATTCTTCTTCAGGGGTAACGTTGAAGATGCCTTGGGGAAACTACAGGTACCTTAGTACTGTAGTTGCTTGTTGCATCACTTTGTTTCTGCAATGATAAGTCGCTGTCATATTTTTTCCATAAACTAAACTAGAGCTCTAAATATTATAAACTGCCCTTGATGATCTTATGCTGATGATTTAGACAAGATTTTATCTGCATGTTTGTCTGGTACATTAAAGAATTGACCATAATTGACATTCATTACATTAATCTTAAAGTAGATGTTTCACCACTGTGTGTGATGCTTTTAATTTTTTTTGTAACTGTGACCTTTTACCTCTTATGAATTCACTAAACAGGCAATCATTGATGCGGCCTCTTACGTCCCACCACCTCCTTCTGAAGAGCAGAAGAAGAAAATTGCTAAGTTGTAAGTGCTGAAACAACCTATGTTGTATAATATGATTTGAATTATTTTGATTCTATGCTGGTCTTCATTTGAATTATTTTGATTCTATGTAGTTTAGAGGTGAAATTTGAATTTTCTGTTTGCACTTCTACTGGCACTCTTAACAAAAGTAGCAAGTTAAACATAAACAGTTTCAAGTCTTTCGGTTTTTTTTTTTTTTTTTTCAATCAAATTATCACTTAAATGATATGATTATAACTATAATTACTACTATCAATCAAAGGACATATAAGCAAATTTCAAACATGGAAATTCTTTTTTAGATATCATCAATTATAAAACAAACTCCCTATATGCCTTCTTAAAACTATTGAGTATTTGGTGTAACTAAACTCTATAAAGTGTTAAGTAAATAAACCCTCCATTAGTGTTCTTGAATTTTGAAGGGCTATGTATTGACCTATTGTCTTTTATGTTTTAAAGGGCTGCAATCGGGGAGCAGAAACGCCTTAAAAGTAAAAAGACCCTTTCAGATAAGAAGGCATTTCGAAGAAGTCGGGACAGTTGGGACTGATTTTCTGTACATTAAGGTTTCAGTTTTTGAATTGTTATATTCGTAATGGCCATCCTTGCCCTACAATTCAGAGGGCCTCGGGAAATTATAGACTACTGGAGAGAAGTAGCAGTGCTTTTGGCCATGTTTCTTAGTCAAAATTATTAGATATCTTCTTGATGTAAAATTACAACATTATACTTTCATTAAGCATGCACTTGGTGAATGTATTGGGTTGGACCAATTTCTTGGGATTAGAGGTGGAAAAGCAGCCTACCAGGCTCGGCTCGGCTCGGCCCGACCCGACCCGACCCGACCTGCGGCGGGTTGCGTAGAGGACCGACCCGCCCGACAACATTGGTAGGCTAGGTTAGGCCCGCCAATGTTGGGGAATTGGCTGGCCCAACCCGGACCGCCAACCCTAACCCGTCAGGTTAGGCTACGGGTTGGGTCGGGTTAACCCTCTTTTTGATTTTTGATTTTTTTTTTTATTTTGTTTAAGTTTAAATGTTTAATTAACTTTTCAAATGAGTAATTAACAATTTATAAATGAATAAATATAATTGTTTTTAGTTAAGTGTTAACTTTTTTTCAAATATCAATAATTAAATTAAATTAATTTTTTTTTTGTTAACATTCCAAATATTAATTCAATTTTAATATATTAAAATTGTAATATAATAAAAATTAAATTTATTCATTTATTAAAAAATAAAATAAGAAATTACAATAATTATTGTCTCGTTGGAAATCTCACCAAGAAAAACCTAATGGGACAAAAACTTGATGAGGAAAAAAGAGTGCAATAATTGACAATTAATTTACAAGTTACAATTTACAAAACAACTAATTTTGGAGTTCACTAAGACCTCTCTCATCCGTATCATCTATATTACAAAATTGAAATGATTCTATTAAAGTATCGTCGACAACCTTGTATTGACCTTGATGGCGCGACCGTTCCTAATCTCGAAGACATGTGAGGATTTCAATCATTTTTGGTGAAAGTTTAGTCCTCCTTTCATTTAAAATTCTTCCACTTGCACTAAATGTTTGTTTAGATGAGACGGTTGAGACAGGAACAACGAAAACATCCAAGGCAAGTCTTGATAATACCGAAAAAATACATTTTCTGGCTCTCCAATAGTCTAAGAGATCAATGCTGGCTCTCTGTTGTGGATTTACTGATAACATTTCAGGGGTTACCAAATATTGTTGAAGCTCATTACTCTGCGACTGCACGGAAGACAGTACATTAGTTGTTGTTATAATCTCATATTCTCACACTCCAAGTTTCAATTATCATTTATTCTCTTAATATTTTGTTATCAATTGTTCTATTTTAATTTTTATTAGGTTTGCAATTTTCAATTCATATTTCCAATTTCCATATCCAAATCTCTTTCTTTAATTTTTATTTCTTCTACATCATTTTTTTTTTAACTAAGTCTACAATGGTGAAGATATTTCTCCCATCAATTTCAATGAGGAAGGAAAATTTATCCTAGTCATCCCGCTGATTTTACTATGAATGCAGGAGATTCAAATAGTCCCGCTGTCCCAATCCCAGTCTCAGAATCCGATACACCTCAAAATATGCCGCAATTCCAACAGCGCCCGGTGGTTCTAGAAGTCTCGAATCGTCGTCTCGTAATCGTCGTCTCGTAACTTATCTCAAGCTGAGGCGGGATCATCAACTGCCATCGAAACGAAACAGACAACATCAGACGTTTGGGCGCATTTCGACAAGTTTTACGAACAGAAAATGGCGTTCAAGTCAAGAAAGCAAGATGCAATATTGTGCAAATGTTATAAAGCTGATTCAGGTAATGGTACTAGTACTTTAAAAAGGCATGTAATAAACATATTAATCAACATGGAAATAGAGAAAGCAATCAAACTCAAATAACTAATATGGGTACTACTTGGCGTTATAATTCTGATGTATATAGGGAACAGTTAGCTTTATATATTGCTGCATCTGATCAACCTATTAATATGGCAGAAGATAAATATTTTGAAAGATTGTCAAAATTCATTTTTTCCAGGATTTAAAAGTTATTCTAAAAACTGCAACTAGAATAATTAATAAAATGTTTTAAAAAAATGAAATTAGAATTAAAAAATAAAATTCTACTTGTCATATTAGTGTGGCTTTAACGTGATATTTGGAGTGGTAGCTAAACAAGATTATATTTGGTGCTAGTCATTATTTTGATAATGAATTAAATTAAATAAATCTTATTAGGATTTAGATTAATGGATGTGGATTAGTGGTTTAGAATTATATATAAATTATTGAAGTTTAGAAGATTATGATATATTGATAAAGTGATAAGTTTAACTTTAGATAATACAAGTTCTAATAGTAAAGTATAGAATTTTTTCAAAATAATTATCTTTTAATATAATTTGAAGTTTTTTCACCAACGTTGTGCATGTCATGTTATTAATTTAATTGGAAAAGTGGTATGAAAACAATTAAAAAAAATATTGATAGAATTAGGGAATTTTTAGCTGGATTACTAGTAGTAATAAAAGAAATGCTGAATTTCAAGAAAGCTTGTATAAAATCAAATATGTCTCTAGAACTTTTGCATTAGATAGCCTGTTAGATGGAATAGTACTTATTAATGCTTTGATTATGTTTACCTTATGCAATATAATTAGTTATTTGTAGCAAATAATAGAGGTCTCATCATTGGTAGAAATTAATTGGAAGATAGCTAAAGTATTTCATTCTTTCTCAAATGTTTTACCAAGCCACTTTACAACTTTCTGTGTGTATTACCCTACTAGTCCATGGTAATACATCATATAAAAATTTCGAGTTATTTACAAAAAAACAAAGATGATGAAATTTTACATGCACCAATAAAGGCAATGGAAAAATTTTTTTTGAAATATTGGAGACCCGTTCCTTTTCTTTATGTTTTAGTGCTATATTTGATCCTAGAATTAAATTAGCAGTTAGAAAATGGTTTGACATTTAGTGAAAATTTAACACGATATATATCAATCAAATGGAGGGTTAAAATAGTCTTTCGAAGTATATTTCCAATATGAAAAAAGGTATGGGAACCGCGTCGCAAAGAGGCGAAATCTCAGAGAAGCTGCAGAAGAAACAAATGAAGACTTATCTCTTGGAATGCACTGAATAGGCGAAGAGGACCCGAGTCGAAGCCCGCCTCCTCTTCAGACGCACACACCACAACACAACAACAACTAATATGCTGTCCTCCATGGAGTCGCAGAGTAATGAAACTTCAACAATATTTGGCAACCCCCGAATGTTTTCAACAGGTCACTTGATCTCTTAGAGTATTGGAGAGCCAGAAAATGTATTTTTCGGTATTATCAAGATTGCCTTGGATGTTTTCGCTGTTCTGTCTCAACCGTCTCATCCGAACAAACATTTAGTGCAAGTGGAAGGATTTTAAATGAAAGGAGGACTAAAATTGCTCCAAAAATGATGAAGTCCTCACATGTCTTCGAGATTGGGAACGATCGCGCCATCAAGATCAATACGAGGTTATCGACAATGCTTAGTAGAATCATTTCAATTTTGTAATATAGATGATACAGATGAGGGAGGTCCTAGTGAACCACCCCCAATTTAGTTGTTTTGTAAAATGTAATTTGTAAATTAATTAGCAATTATTGCACTCTTTTTTTTACCAAGTTTTTCCCATTGGGTTTTTCTTGGTGAGGTTTTAACGAGGCAATAATTGTTGTAATTTCTTATTTTATTTTTTAAATGAATAAGTCTAATTTTTCTATATTACAATTATTGTATTAAATTGAATTAATATTTGAAATGTTAACAAAAAAAAAAATTGAATTGAATTGAATTATTGATATTTGAAAAGTTAACTAAAAACAATATATTTTAATTATTTTTTTAAAAAGAAAATTAAAAAAACAAAAACAAAAAAAAAAAAAACACAAAAAAAAAAAAAAAGGGCTAACCCGGCCCGGACCGTGCCTACACGGGGGCTAGGGCTGGCGGGCCGGGCTGGGCCAGCCACTTTCCCTTAATTGGCGGGCCTAACCCGGCCGCCTTTGTTGGCGGGGGGGTGAGCCCAGCCCGCCAAAACATGTAACCGCCGCGGGCGGGTCGGGCGGGCCGGGCGGATTACTTTTCCACCTTAATATTAGTGTAAGAGAATAGTAAGGCTAGCAGTACTCTTTTGTATATTAATGGAGCATGTAGTAAATTTTTAAATTAACAGCAACCACCAATAACATCTGGCTGTGTTTTATTAGGGTTTTCATTTCACTTGAAAAGGGTGTAAAAAAAAAAAAAATGACAATTAGAAGCAAAACAAACACGATCTTTAAAGAAATGCTTCATCATCGACCATTATCCTCCTCCGTTTTCATATCACCGATCCGTTTCACTTTACCTGGCTTAGACCGTTTAAGTATCCAGCGTTCAGTCAGTTTTGGCGGTGTTCGCTGCGCGCCTCTGATTCCGGCTCCGACAAGAAGGTATCAGCTCGGCTCTCTCAAGTTCAGCAACTATTGCAAGAAGCCGAGGAGCGAGCCAGCTCGCTGGCAATGACCCCATCCCTAAAATACGCTAGGTACTTGAAATTTAATTATCATTTTCGTTTAAGAGAGACAAGTCATCATTAAACTTAACCCAATCAGCATTGCTTGAGATCATGTGACTGTTAGCTTTGCTCGAAGTGGTGGGCCTGGAGGTCAAATGTGAACAAAGGTATGCTGCTCTACTTCTATTTTGTGTTTTAATTTTTCACAAATTTGGTTTTCGCATCTTTTATAGGGATGTGACTGTAATTGATTTTAAGACAAAGGTGGACATGCGTTTCAATGTTAAAAATGCGTACTGGTGGAGTGACAGGGTCAGAAAGAGGATTATGCAAATGGTTTGTTTTTTTATCATTTCTTATTGTATGTTTGAAAGTCATGTTGCATGAAAATAAAATTAATCAAGAGAGGAACAGGGGATAAGGCGTATTTATGGGATTATAGGGTTTTGAGCTCTAGCTCAGATCAGTCAGTTTTGTGAGATTTTTAACTTTAATATAATAGAGAAAAAAGAAAAAAAAGGAAGCGAGAGTAGGGCCTCTTTTATATCACCTAGGATTTCTTAAGGCTATTCTGATTATTTTTAGAATCCAAAGATTATAATGACTAAAATTAATATTTTTCTGTATGATGAAATTGTGAATGTTAAAAAAGTGCCAAAAGCTGAGAATAGATAGTTTTAGAATGCATAATTCCCAGTTCGTGATGGGTCTACAACTGGTAAAAATAAATAGTTTCAAGATTAATGTCTAGTAAAATTATGGATTAGACATGGGAGGTATGGTTTTATCAGCTATGAACTGAATGACAGTATTCCCCTTTTAGCCATAAATACAAGAGAGATTATAAATTATCAGAGAGATCTAGGTGACTTTTCTGAAAATATGTGACTGTTGTGTTATTAAGTTAGCTTTCGTGCTCCTTTC